TTGGAAAAATGTCTGTTCAAGTCCTTTGCCCATTTTTGAATTGTGTTGTTTGTTTTGTTGTTGTTGAGGTTTAGGAGTTCTGTATATATTCAGAATATATGTTCCTTTGTCAGATATATGATTTGCAAATATTCTCTCCCATCGTGTGGGTTGCCTTCTTACTCTCCTGATAGTGCTTTTTGATGTACAACATTTAAAATTTTTCATGAAATCAAATTTATTTATTTTTGTTATTGTTGTTACCTGTGCTTTTGGTATTATCAGTGAATGAAATTTTAAACCAGTTAACTCATGGTATGTTCAATATTGCTATAGATTTTCTTTTTTCAAAAATAGGCAAACCTAAATCTTTTTTAATGTGGGAAAAACAATGGGATACAAAACTTAACACTATCACCTTACCTAAAGAAACACTATCAGATTGTAATAATCAGTGAGAATTTGTCTTCTTTTCTAATGCAGTCACTACAACAGTCTCTGTGATTAGAATACATTTTTATACATTTGTAAGAAAAATATAATAATATACTAGTGATAACATGTTTATGACACAGGCACTTCTGTTTTTTAATAGACATGTATAAAGAGAAGTTATATGAAAAAGGAGATCCTTAAATGGAACAATTCATCAGAATTTTTTATCTTAAACCAAACGATCCCAAAAGTTTCACAAAACACTTTTCGTATAGGTGCTCATATCAAAGACTTCTGCCCCAGATTTGATCCACTCCATGCCTATGACATTTTACATAAAATGATGACATAATTACATAAAATGGAAGGGGAATGAGATGGACAGACTCAGAAATGACAGAATTCACTAGTGGTTTTGAATATGTAGCATGGCGATTTGCCTTTTGTAGGATGAAACTATTAACTGCTCACTTTCAAAAATCACAGAAGTTATGCATCTCCCTGGAGCCTAGAAAGTCTTTCGTATTTCTTAATTACCAAGTCTCTTTTCGGCCGCATGGCTCTCTCACTGCTCCTGTTGCATCCAGGGTCGTCTTTGCAATTTCCTCTGAAAACAACTGTATATTAACATACAAAGTTTGGGGGGCGGGGGTGGAGGAAGAGAAAGGTGTTAATTCAGATGTTATGAAACTGTAATAATGCTATTATTTAAGGCACTTATTTGGGTATGTTTATACTTTGTAGTTTCATAAATAAGCCCAAGGGGCTTCTCCTGGTTGTCACAATCCTCCTTGAATCTCGTGTCCTGTCTGTCTCTTCCTATCCGACAGTAGAATTGATGCTGCTCTAATCCCTGGAAGTTTGGAACTAATGAACTGACTGCTGAGCTGCCGCCACGGAGCTTGGTCCCAAACTATACTGTACTTCACACTCGATTTATTCTCCAGATGGCGAGACTGTGCCGCCCCGCCGCGAGGGACCACCTCTTCCAGTGGAGTGTAAAAGCGGACGGATGTTGTTTTCTTTGCAGATTTGATCATTCTGAGCTAGAAACTTGTGAGGATGATTAGTTATTAGCTTTAATGGGTGCCAATTGAACCAACTGCACGCGTATTTTCTCCTTTAATTTCGGAGTCTGCAGGTCTTGGTGATGGTTGATTTATCCGCTTTCTTACGTCAGCAGAGCGTGTCTCTTCCCCAGGTGATAAGAACCCCATCTCTGAAATCATAGCACGCCTTGGTTCCTGGCCCAGACAGAGTCACATAATACGGTGGCTTATGTATAAGGACAAGTTTATTAGCCATTGGTCCACTGCACTGAGCCGCCCATGGCACGAAATATCGATTGAATGTGGGAACTTTAGTAACACCACCTTTTAAACCAGGGCCTGGGAAGATTCCAATCCATGCCAACTTTCTTTGTGACCTCTGCAAAACCCGCCTCTGGAATCAAACATTAGAACACACGATGGTATTTAGTCTCCGCAAAAAATCTAATGTAACTGTCGCTGAAGCTCCTTGATTTCATTGTTCCCTCTTTCAGGTTGTCAGATCTTAGGAGGACAAGTTCATTCTGTACTGAGAAATGCTTACCAAGGCCATCCTGTCGTGTTAATGCGTCTAGAATGCAGTTTCTCTAAACCTCATTTTAAACAACCCATTTTGTGACCAGAATGTAAGAGACCCCCCACGAAAAAAAGAGTCGTTTTTCAGTGGCCTCTTTTTGCTTTCATTTCCTTTTCCTTCTTTCTCCAGGGATTACTTACCTCCCAATAATCTCAGCAGATCACCTGGGTAGCCCTTCTGAGAAGGTGGTGTCTGCCAGGCTGAGTCTCACTAATCCCCCTAATGAGATGGAAATTGGAGGAATGGTCAGGGCCAAACAGCAGCCAGAGAAAAAGAGATTGAAAGAGTGAAGGGAGTGAGGTGATGGAGATGAGAGCGATGTAAGAGAGACGGTAGCAAGAAATAAGGTACGTGTGAGAGAGAACAGCATGAACAGAATTTCTTTCTTTTCACAACTGGTGGACTGTGGCTCTCTCTCGCTGAACACTCAGAACTAAACTTAATTGTTCTTAGAAACTGCCTTCCTCTCACCCAACAGATGGTATGGGTGTGTGTGCTAGCACAGTAACATATTTCACCATTAAAATATCAAAAAGAAAAAAAAATCAACATTCTTGTTGGTTGGTGTAAATTCAGTGAAGTTGTTGGATATTTGGGGAGACACAGCAGAGGGATGCACACTTGGTTTATGTAAATTGCCACAAGCAACAGCCTGTTAGTAAGAGTGTTGTATGGCAATATACTTCCAAAGCCGTCATCTTTTTTTGGAAAGGTACAGAATGATGAAGTGGAAAGAGCTTGGTTTTAATTCTGAGCCAGAAAGAGGAAAAAAAAGTCTAATAAAATGCTGAGTATTCACTGCTCATTATTATAACATTAAAAGTACTAATCAGATTATGCCTGAAGTTGGAATGGGGTCCTTCATTTGCAGCCAATTTCACAAGGGCTAAATTTTACTAAGTAAACCAGAATGTGCTGAAACCATGGTAATCTGACTTCAGATAAAAATCACAAACAGGTTTAGAAAATGAGCTTTGAACAAACAGTCCCCTCCAAATCCAAGTGAAACAGCAAAACAGCTTAGAAGTCAGATTTTGTTTGACACCAACATTAACAGTTTAGGAAGTTGATGTTGCCAGGGATCCTGTGTCCTTGAGCGCACATGCAGATTAAACTGCAGGATGGAAATGATGGTTCAAATAACTCAAGTTTTAAAATGTGCTTCAGCCTAAACGATCTCGTTAGTTCCCTTCCGTTTTCCATTCACTTTGTCCCAATAGACCCTTTACAAGCCCGACCTGCTCTTGAAAGCAACCCTGGAAGTCACAATGTTTCCAAGCTGGACCATCCCGAGTTTGTGGCTGTGCTTCACTACACGGAGCATAGCGCATCCTAGGCTCTCTGAGGCCGTGGATCTAAATTTACGTAGGAAGCATCCTTGGAATCATGCTATTGAGCTGGCTTCTGCTCTTCACCTTCAGGATTTTCCTATTTAGTGATCATAGCAAGAGGGCATGATAGAGCAAGTGGATGCGTTTCATCGCTGTGGAACGGCCCACAGCACGGTGTAGGACCAAGCCACTGGCTGCTGCATCTTCCCTCCATTGAGCTAGTGTGTGCTCTCTCTTGCCGTTGTCTAAGCCTGGCCTAATTATTGGCAGTCAGAACTCAGTGAGTTAGGATTCCGCAGAGCTGTCTTAAACTGCTCCTACACCGGTACTCTGCTTCCATCTGACCTGACAGCTCTAAGCTGGTTTCCTCACACCGTCTAACTCAGACCACATTTGGAGGCCTTCCCTGCTTCCACCCGGTCATAGACCTATATCCGTCTGGTTTAAATCTACTGTCCTGGCTCGTCTCCTTGATTGGACTTAGTCTCAATATTGGCTTAAATGATTCTTTTTCCTCTCTGCTTTGGTTTGCTATTTTTCTAGGTAAGTGTTGCTGTTCAAATGGCTGTACATTGTTAGGACTTTTTTTTTTCCAAACCACTTCATCAGCAGTGAGAAGCTTTAAAGTTTTATTAGTATCATAAAAACCCTTCCCAAATGAAACTACTTTTGATAAGTGTTCATTCTGACAATGAGAATTTGTTGAGGGCTATTGGCAAGTTGGAGGAGTTTGTTTTTGAAACTGAAATTGGCAGGAAGTAATGACCCCAAGTGCTTTCTTTCTCCCAATTCCAGCCCCCCTGCCCCCCTCAGTGCACTCCCCTCTCCCCACCCCCTGCCCTACCTTCATCCCCAGCTCAGAGCCAATAAATTACATGTTTGGTTTCATACAGTTTCTCTGGGGATAATTCAAATACTAAAGCAGACTTTCAGCGTTTCAGCTTTTCTTAACTGTGGACCAAAGACTGTCAAATCAAAGAAAAAAATGTATTTGTCTACCACTTCATGAAGGGATTTCTTGGTGGTATTATTGCCTTCCATCTGAATAAGTTAGAGCTTTGTTGTAGTGTGGAGTGTCATTTCCTGTGAGCGCATTCTTAATTGAATGTCAAGATTCAACTCAGTTGCAAAAAGAATTTTTTAAGTGAATAAAAAAGCAAGAAGCATGTGGAAAGAGAAAAACAAATCCTTATATTTTTTCCCTAATGTGAATATGCTACAGTCAAGACCACCATTATCCGTATGTTATCTGGTTTCCTGTATTTATTAAATGAGAAAATAAAGGTAAAGCACTTGGCACCATGTCTGGTGCTTAGTAAATGCTCAGTAAATGCCACCTATTCATTATTTTACGCTTTCAATTAGGAAGTAATGCTAATGACCGAGATTCACCAACATGCATTATAGTGGTGTTCATCTCACTGTCGTCACCTTGAATCAAGTCTAGAAATCAATTACTTGCCCATCAGATTGGATGACTCATTTCAAATGCCACTCATTTGGTGGACATAATAGATACAGTAATGGTGCTCAGACTCTGAATCCACAGAGCAGTTTCATGGATGGTTTGATTGTGTTTTCTATCAATGATAAATAAACTTAGGAGATATGTTTTATCTACACTTATAGAATGAAGCTCGATTGAGAATAGTAAAAACTCTCGAAGACTTTGATCTGGGCGCAACTGAAAAATGTGTGAGAATCAACTCAGTGTCCAGTGGTCTGGCCGAAAAAGACCTGGAGGCCCTCCTGCAGTCCCGGGTCCTGCCTTCCAGCCTCATGCTCCCGAAGGTGGAAGGTCCTGAAGAAATCCAGTGGGTGAGTAGCTCATGCTTTGCTTTCATTAAAGACTTGGGGATGGCTAAGAAGGAGTAGCAGAAACAAAGGCTTTGGATGTTGCAGGTTTTGAGAATGCATACACAGAGCAGAGAGGAAGGGAACTGAGCAAAAGAAGTGGGCCCCAAAGAACATTTCCTTCACACAAGGAGAACCTGGTGTTGCCCTCAGTGTTCAGTGGAACAGCTCTTTACTGAAATGATGCTTCTGTTGCCCAAACAGATCTGTGGTTTAGACAGAACAGCTTCCTCCAGAGCAACCTCTGGAAACCAGCTTACCCGAGACTACACTGGCCAGGCCTTAACCCTCCACCTGGAAGAGCAGTGATGTGCTTGGCTCTTAAGCAGATTCATTTGAAGTCATTACAGACAGCGAAAACGCATTAGCCACAAAGGGAAAAACGAACCTAGAAGAGGAGAGGAAAAGGTCACTCCTTAGGGCAACTAGAGGAAGAGACAGGAAGCTTTTAACTAGTGGTTTTAATTAGCGCAGATATTATTTCCTGAACAGTTTTCTAGTTCGTCCTTTTTAAATTGCTGACAGGTGTGTTTGTTTCATGACAGACTTTTAAGCCAATAAAACCCTGGCATGTCAAATTACTTAAGAAAACTTTGAAATGGGCCTAATTCTACTATGATTATTTTAATTGTTAAAGGGGGGTTGTGGACCCGACGGGAGGCTAGGTTTTATTTAGAGGTTACTATGACTCTGCAGATCTCGGCTGAATAAAATACAGTTCCATTGTGCCACTCCAGGGCAGGGGGCCCGGGACACCCAGGTGCTGGAAGGCTGGGAAAGGTGGTGATTTTGATGCCACATCTGGGGTGATGTCTAAGGCTGTGGCTTCAACTGAAGTGATACACTGAGTACTAGCTGTGGTACCCAAGGAAACTGCTCACCTTTTTCATGCATGTAGATATGTTAGATCTGTGCTCTCCAGTGCCTGGCTTCCTAACACATTTGGCTACTGAGCACTTGAGATGTGGCAAGTCCAAATTGAGATGTGTTGTAAGTGTAAGATACACATGGAGCTTCGAAGACTTCATAGCACCCCCACCCCTAAAAAAAGGATGTAAATTATCTCCACAATTTTTATGTTGGTTACATGTTGAAATGATAATATTTCAGATCTACTGGATTAAATAAACCTATTATTAAAATTGAATTCACCTGTTTCATCTTACTCCTTTTAATGTAGCTACTAGAAAGTTTAGAATCACATAGGGAGCAGCCATTATTTTTCTGTTGGACAGCTCCGCGTTGGAGTCTTCTTAAAGACCAGAGTTCAAGGGCCCTTATTTACTTTCTAAACTGGAGTTCTCCTCATCAAGGTCGCCCCTCAGAAGCTGGGAGATCCTGGTGATAGTAGGTTCATGTCCTCAAGGGTGCCTGCCCTGTTCAAATGTGTCTTCAGTTGATTGAACTGGAATCTGAAGTCACTGTTCCCTTTTGGTTTCATAGCTAATGCCTATTTATCACCGTTATTATCCCTCATTTAAGAGGGGAGGACTCACCCCAGCCTTCAGCTACGGCTTCTGTTCACTGTTTTAAATCCTTGGATGTGAGGAACGTACCGAAATCCTAAATAGGATTTCTAGTTAACAGAAGTCTTTGGGGCTGTTTATTTTTTCCTCTCCGTTTGTATTTATGTGAAGCATAAAACCCAGAGCCTGATGCACAACTGAAAGAGGGGCTTCCTTGTTTTCTTTTGTGTGAGAATCTCTTGCTGGCCGTTTGTCGCTAGTGTGGGTTCTTGTTTGACTGGCACGGCTTATTGGACTATAACAAGCGTGACTCTGCCTCCTTTGTCGTGGGACAATTCTCCCACAAATCCCGAACAGGGTGCATTCTTCCAACACACTATTGGGTGTGCACTGGAATTGAAAGAATTGCTGAGCCCTGCTACTTCATCTCCTCCCCAATCTCTTTGTGATTTTCCCCCTTCTTTTCCTCCACCCGCCCCCCCAGTCCCCTCCACCTCGCTGAAATGAACACTTTACCAGGCCGGAAACATTTAATCGTCTCCTTTTGAAAAAATTAATTGAAACTTCTCCACTAGTTACCTTTTGTGTAGTACTTAGTGCAATTTTTTAAGAAAGAAGGGGAGGAGGAGAAGGAGGATGGGCTAGAATATTTAATTTTTAAATGCCCCTGTTGGCTTAAAAACAAAAGGCATCAGGGACTTTTCTCACTAGGAACAGGATAGATGTTGTAAAGGGTTTACCTAGTTTTCAACTTTACAGGTTTTCTGATTATAACTATTATCACAAAGAATGGGGCAAGTAATGTTGCAAGTCTTTTTTTAATGAGAAAAAAAATTCCTCCACTGCATAGGTAACACTAACCAAAACCACTAATATTTTACTACCAATTTTCTAGCTTAAATATGACATGAATTATGTTTTATTTTCATTTTCATGGAGTGCTATACATTTTGTCCCCTTAAATTGTAGCCTTCTCTTCATTCTTGCTATTTTGGTTGAGTTATTCCTTCCCTTGCAAAGTTACTAAGGAGGTGATGGTGATGGTGTCGGAGTAAGGGAGGGGGCAGTGGGAGCAACTGAGAATAATTCTTCATTACTGAAAGCTGTGATTTATTTTAGCCTAATTGTAAAGTTACTGCAAATTGCTCAAAAGCTTTTTAAAGATCCCAGTGATTAGATTTTTGTGGGGAGGGGGCTGCACAGGCAAGGAGGGGGCAGCTAAAAGGGGAAATAACACCTCTAATCCTGCTTCTGGTAAATAGGCTGCCAGCTTTTAAAATGAGTTTCCTTTCTATTAGTCAGAATATTATGCTAAGCCTTAAGCATTAGTTTTTTTATGTTGCCATAGCAGCCCTATTCCTGCAGGGTGGTGACCTGCGATGATTACAGTACAAAGCTTATAGGGTCTTGAAACCCCCTTTGAAGATGAAAAGTCTTTGATGGTTTATATTTATGCAAATCTCTTAGATATGATTTACCCAACTGAGACTGAATGGAGAGATGATTAAAATTCCCTTTTCCTTTGATATCCATTAATGGCTGAATATTCCTTAAATTTAAAATGGATATATATGTTTTCATCTTTATTTACAAAAATATCTTTATCATACCTGTGTGTGTGTGTTTTATCTCCCCACATCTTATTAGATCTAGATAGACATAATAGATTTACAATTTAGAGTGTGGTGGGGTTTCTTTTTTTTCCCCTTTGAAAGGGGTGGGGGGAGATCTGTGCAAGAGCTTTTGTATGTTTCCAGATGATAGATTTTGGAATTTGGGCTACCCCACTGGCAGCACAGAGCTAGCTGTGAACTGGTCTCATGGAAAAAATTGGCGAGCTTTGGTCTTCAAAGAATTAAACTTCCTTTTTAAGGTCTTCCTAGGTAAGCTAAAAAATTATGAAGAAAAACCTCTGAACAAAGGGTAGTGTTGCTATAATGAATAATATGGATTCCATGTAGAGGGCTGCTGAACAGTTACACTGATGTCCGTGCTGGGTCCGAAACAAAAACAGAATGGCAGGTAGAGCAAGCCTGCATTGTTTTAGAGGCCTGCCACTGGCACTGAACGAAGTGAAGGCGAGAGGGCTTAAGGAAATCTGTTTTCAAGGAAAGCGTTTAAACTGGAGAGTCTCTCCTTCCACCTCTAAGTCCTAGGCCTCAAATTGCTCCCTCAGGAAAAAAAAATTACAGTGCTTGGTGTTTTGCTATTTAGCTTGGTGGGAACTTTGTTACCTTTTTTCTTTGGTCTTTCCTCCTTTTTTTTTTTTTTTTTTAATACTTTTGTGTGGACGAAAGGGTCTGGGATATTACTTCCTCAGGTCAAAGACTTCAATACTATTTCTGTGTCTACAGTTCAGTGATTGTACATCTTCCCCCCACTAATCACTTATGACACTTTTTATTTTAGTTTTCAGACAAGTTTTCGTTCTACTTGAAAGGCCGAAAACTTGAACAACCTATGAATTTAATCCCTTTTGTGGAAACTGCAATGGGTTTGCTCAATTTTAAGGTAAGAAAACCATAATGTGGCTAATAGGTTAGTATTTTATTTATTACCTAAAGTGAACTTTTGTTTTCAATTTTAACATCTTAAAATATTTTTCTAGAAAGACTTATAAGCAAAGTAAACCTTGGGCACCATTTGTTATCTATAATAATCCAAAACCATGTTGTGAGCATCTTAGAAAACAAAGAAATTGGCTAAATAGCAAGGGAAAACTTCCCAGTCCTAAATATTTAAATGAAATAGTCCTAGTAATAATTTTAATTGAATAATCATTGTGTAAATTCTTGCTGTGAATTATTACATTTATAGAATAAATATACATGAAAATTTGTCACTGTTACGAATTAACTTTCAGTTATTCTCTTGTAACAATTGCCTTTTATTGGGAAATTTTCAGGCCTCTTTGTAGCAACATTATAATGTCTAATAGATAAGGTTACTATTTTTGAGTTAGTGTACACAATAATTTGTAGTATGTTATTTCAACTTGCCACATTAGAACATAAAATGTTTCCTAAGATACATTCAGGAGGATTAGCTGAGCCAAGCATTTCACTGTTATATGGTTGCATTAAACTATTTGCCTTAAGTTCTTAGCTAGCTTGTTTTTCCAATTTATCAGTGGTCATTTAAATTGTTTTCCAAAACAATATGCCTCATATTCTACCTGAGCTGTAAACACCACTGTAGCGCCCCATCTCAAAGGGCAGGAGAGAAGAAATCCCTAAAACAAAAACAGAGAAAGATAGTTGAACTGTGCTGGGGAGAGAGTACGTGGGCAAACGCTCCGAGGGGAAACTTTAAGACCCACTGGACCGTGCAGGAGGGGCAGAGTGCAAATGTTTGGGGGGCTGCTTCAGGCCTCGTGATCAGCATGTTTATACCACTAACCACAAATTCTTCCGGCCTGCCCCAGAACTCCAAGAATATAATCAAGGCATATTTCTTAGATGCAACTAGATTCATACAGTAATTTCATTTTAAGCGCTGATTCGCCATTCTATTCCGTAATATACTTAGAAGCACTTACCGCCCCCGAAATTAAACAACAGTATCCTCACCGGTTCCTCATGTCTTCCCCACCCATATATATTAGCATGCTGAATCTCCACCTTTGTAGAGTCACAGTCATGTCTAAGATGGCTGTTATTCATCTTTATTTTCACATAGAAATGTCCAAGGTGCTTATTAATACGTCTTGGCTGACTTGTTGCATTTTTATTTTCCCCTCTGGAGTAGTTGATTTTTGTATTGTATGCCTTTAATCCTGAGACCAGTTACTAAGAAATCTCGATCCCAGTGCAAATAATTGAATTAGTCTGATTTAAAAATTCTTTCATTTTCTCCTGTGGTTTTATGTATATTATTGGAGGGTCTCTGAAAGCAAAAACAAATTTTCGAAAAATAGAAATAACTTATAGTACAGTCAAAATGAGTTAACTTGAAGGTTTCTCTAGTGATCAGATTGTATCTATATTAATAATGAAACTATATGTAATTCATTAAGCAAAACAAATATATGCAACAGACTTATCTTGGACAAGATTCAATACCTATCGAAAGGGGTGAATTGGGGTGCATTTTTAAGACTGCTTTCAGCCAAACTGTGTTAAGAGTTGCAGCTTTCTGTCACTGAAGTGTACCATGCTGCTCCCCTCTGATGCGTGCATCTCTGTGAGATCTGGCTCTGTTCTGCTCTTTTACAGGCGGTGTGTGAAGAAACACTAAAGACCGGGCCTCCAGTGGGTCTTTTTCTAGATGCAGTCGTTTTTGGAGGAGAAGACTTTCGAGCCAGCATAGGTGTCAAAGACACGTTTCTCTTCTCATTCTGTGTATATGTTTTTTCTTTCCCCCTTCAAGAATGGACGTTTACATGACAGTGTATATTTGCCAACCAGGACAATGGTTTTTCAGCTGAATGGGCAACACTTCCTGATAATTTAGGGCCCCTCATAACTGTCTTGCTTCCAGAAGACTATGTCATCACTTCTGTTCATGTATAAAATAACTAATAAAAAGCCTGTTGTAGCCTCAGACATGTTCAGGTATATACAATGTAGACTTTGTTCATAATAAGTGCATTATGTGAACAACCTCTCTGTTGCTTAAATATTTTGTTTGCCCATTGGTCTGAGGGCTGTCCAGGGTTCTAACACAAACTTAAGGCAATTTCACATTGCTTTAATGAATTATTTTCTACAGTAAATGTAGTATATAAATATTATTTAAAACAGGTATTAAATTCCCCATAAAATATATTTCAGAACGCCTTTATTATTAAATATTTATTGAGATAGTAGGCTTGTTTTCACTGATCTTCCCCATCCCTGGGGCACTATGTCTTTGGTCTGGGCCCATGTATAACTAGAGGCTGCTGAGTGCATCTAGAAAAGAGGCCAAGGCCACAAAGCATTTTCAGGACCACAGCCCCAGTGACCTGAATACAGGAGCTTTCCCTGAGCAGTGTCATGGTCCAAATATAAATAGTGACTCTCTCGCCCTCCCTGCCCCCAGGGGAAAAAGGAACATATTTTGATACCAGTCTTTCCAGGAGACTTTTGTGTATCCAACAGCTCAGGGGACACTCTGCTTCTCTCAAAATGAGTGTTGTTTCATTTCCCCATGTTCTCCGTCCACACTGAAGCTGCAGTATCTGGTTCAGAACCTCAGTTATGACACAGTATTGCAACCACAGCACATGAATTCTGTGCTCAGTGAGGGAAGTTAACTATTTCCGTGCACAGCTGTTTGACCACGTTTTTTGATGCTGTCTTTGAACTGACACTTTCTGAGCGATGGCAAGAAGGAAGAAATATACCAGGAGTCTTTTGTGACCTGTCATGTCATTTGTATCTGTCTCCTGAGATGGGGGAGGGGCCTTTTCTTAATGCACGTGCACGTAATTGTACGGAAAGATGCCTTGCATGATCAAGAGACACGTGAGATTTAACTCTGTCTCCACATATCCCTCTCTTCATTTATATTTGAGTCATCATTTCACTGGGGAGCAGTCCACAGGAAGAGACAGATGTCTTTACAAACTGAGTTTTTATAATAAATGTTTAGTTAACATCTCCAAAGTTAACATCTCCTTTCTCTGTCAACATTCCATTTTCAGGTGCAACAAGTAGTAAGGAAACCCAAGATATTCTCTACGCCCGACAAAAGATTATTGTTGTAGCCAAGGCCTTCGGTCTACAGGCCATAGATCTGGTGTTCATCGACTTCCGGGATGGAGAGGGGCTTCTCAGGCAGTCGAGAGAAGGAGCTGCAATGGGATTTACCGGTATGATTCTTGATGATGTCTTAGATGATAATCTTAGTATTTAGATTAAGCAAACATTCCAGAAAAATAGAAATTTAACCAGGAACTGGTGTATCTAATGTATCCAGATCTCATACACTTATTTCACTGTTTGAAACATGAAAAAGTTATTCATAACAAGAACCTGCCAACCAAATTGTCATGTCTGTCTTTCGCTCCACAAGTCAAAAAACAAAGCACTTATGGAAAGGTATAGCTCAAGTGGTAGACTGCATGCTTAGCATGCATAAGGTCCTGGGTTCAATCCCCAGCACCTCTTCTAAAAATTAAATCTAATTATCTCCCCCCGCCAAAATAAATTAAAGTTTTTTTTAAAAAGCTGAAGTTTATATACATTTTTTTAAAAAAGAACTTGTTTTAGTTTCTCCTAATATTACTTACCAGTTTTTTTCTGTCCCCTTAAGTATTTATTTTGTTGAAATTTTTGCTGACACGTGGGGAGGGATGAGGCCATTATAGAAGTGTTTTTGAGTGAACTCAAGACGTGACTATAATAAGAATATAATGGGTAATAAAAAATTCCTCAGATACTCAAAATATTAATTTATTTCTGAAAAAAATTTTGGTGAGACCTTTTTTAAAAATCATAACTAGTTTTTTATTCTTCTGCCACTTCAAGCCCCTCCTTACTCTCCCACCTCCCAGTAAGTGTCTGTGCACCTGGCGACACTTACGGGCATTGGCTACCACTGAGATCAGCGGATCCCTGGAAATCCGGTCCTGGAACACAGGCTCATATCTGTTGATTGGTGTGCCTGATCACTCAGATACCCAGCAGCCCAGGGAGCAACTGAAAATTGTATTTTTGCAACAGAAATCTATTTTTTGAAAAACTACACTAGGATTCTATACACAAACATATCTGCAGTTTCTCACACACACACACACACACACAAACCATAAGCTCTTTTATTCTTACTTGTTCTTCTCCTGCAAGTCCTAAGAATGTCATGATCAGAAATACACCTGAAAAATAAGGACAAGAGACAAGCATCCATGCTATTCTTTTTGTAAATACTTTTGAAATGTGTTCTGTTAGAGGTTACTGAAAGAAATATTTCATAAAGTGACCTTCAATGGAAAAGATACCTTAATAGATGATGTTTGAAGTCAAAGTAAAACTGAAAGACTAAAGGAAGAATTTTAGTGTTATATTAGAATTAAAGCTCTGACCTTTGTGTTTGTGTTTTTAACATAGAGAGTTAAAATAAAATGTGATTCCTCAAATTTGTTAAATAAATAAATAAATATGATCTCTATTAGAACTATTTCTCAATCATCTGAGCTATTAATCCTCCCTACATTTAATAGTGACTGAGAAAGAAAGAGTCCCTCTACGGAATCCCTGGCATTGTCCTTGTCTCTGTGGCCTGTGACACCTGCCTCCTTCCAATGACCCATTAGGATGTGGCCCAAATGGAAAAGTTGGAGAAAAACTCTGTGAAATCTATCTAATAGACTCCGATGTTGTTGGTCTGAAAATGTGGCACTGGCTGCCAAGCAGCCAGATGTTGCTCTGAAATGGGCACTAATACAATAAAAAATAGAAAACACTGGATTGATGGGGGCCTCTCTCACCATCACTCAGGATAACCTGGGTGTCCTCTGCCTCCTCTGGGGCAAATGTTTGCTCCAGAACTTATAAGGGAGTTTGAGAGTTTCTCCAAGAGACAGGACTGAATTAAATTGGTCCCTAATGCAATCGTAGAAGACAAGTTATTTCAAATCAAATTTAAATTTCTAGACTGTGCCTAACTCAGCATGAGGAGCTTATGGACTTGGCACTATTGTTTCTCAACAACAGGGAGTATTAAGTCACCAAAAAAAAAAAAAAAAAGGAAGCTGGAGGGAGGAAGAGAGAATGAAGAACACAGAGAGTACAGTGCCCATTATGTATTCAAGTGAACAAATCAGTAAGTAGGAAGCTAAACTTTGTAGCCATTTTGCAATTTTTAGAAAGTAGGTCTTTGTTGTCCCAATTATATTTCTACATACCAATAAAAGGTAATTAATCTGATAATAAGGTATGAGATTATTTGTAGTATTTTTAAACAATAAATACTTTAATGAGTATTTTAGGCCACTCATAATCTGCTTGTCCTAATTATTTGTCATTTAATTGCCATATTTTTGGCTTTGTACAAGAAAGGAGATAATGAAGGAAAGAAGGGAGAAAGGAAAGGAGAGATACATACTCTACCCTAGTTTTTTGGTTGAAAGTTTTAAAATTCAATGGAGTATTATGTTATCCATAACACTGATAAGGATCTGTGCTATAAGAATTTTCTGTATTTTTAAAAATTAGATTTTTTTAACAAGTTGTAGGTTTTTGAAAGTTAGCCATGCATCAAACAGCAGGTTATAGTTTCTTTTTCTGTAGTCATTGTTTCACTGAGCCACAGTCCATGTAGATTGATTTTAAATCAATGCATTGGCTGTGTAAGTGACTATTAACTTTAGGAATTATTTTTATAAAAAGAAACCAAAAATAAATCTTGGAATAAAGCTTTAACAGCTGACTTAGTCATCACAGTTATTCCAGTACTACATGCTGAGAAGAAAGATTATAAATACGAAGCACTATGGGTTTTCTTCTTTTTTGCAGTCTTTTGTAGAAGACAAAAATGACACCATCATACAGTTACCTAAAAGACTTGACAGGTATTGATTTAAAGCACGATATATCAAGTGGTACTGTAAAAAGGATTTCATGGTCATAAATTTTAATGTCTTCAATTTTGCACCCTCTCAGTAACTTGTCAATAACAACTCTTCTGTATAAAATATTTGCTTCGTTCCCACATGGCATTAAAGTCTGATGTTCAGTTGTTGGGATATGTAAGATTCAATGGAGATAACTTCACATATGGAGGTTCATAAATTTCTAAAACCTAACATATATCTTAAAATTAGCCTCATTACCAAAATATGGGTACTTGAAAGCCATCATTAATTTCACAGCATTGTAAATAGTTTAGTTTTGCTTCTCAATTTATGGTGTCTGTACCAAGAAGTTCCCATGAAACCTGGCTTTTTACACATCAGTGTAAATTATGTACATAAATTATAAAATTCAGGACTAACAATTAGTACAAAATGACTACCATAACTGACATCCTTTATTAATAATACTATAACAACTATTAGATTACTTAGATATAATTTCAGTGTCTATTATTGAAAAAAAACTCTCATTTGTCATCACTGATGTTATTTTTTTCCCAGAAATTATTCCTCAGATAACTAAAAGCATCTTTATTTATACAGGATTTTAATGTTTTATTAGTACACTGACAGATAAGAATAAAATAGCAATGTGAGGATGTTTTAATTATGCCACTGTAAAGAAAAGATATTATATATTCACTTCAACTCTTTTTCATAAAATACTAAAACAAATTTTAGAAACATTATTCTTTTTTCTATTTTGACAGAATAATGACAGTAACAGGAATGGATCTTTTATAATATATCACAGATACAATTTGTACTGGCTAAATGCTAAAACAGCTATTTCAGAAGCAAAGCAAACTGATATACCAACAAATATACTTAGCAGAGTAAATTATCATGAAGAATACATTCATTTTTAAAGAACCAAGTATGTCCATAATTTTATCATGTAATAAAATATAATATCATCATTATAACATTAAATTATGTTTGCATTTTATTAATGACCTTATTAGATTCTACTCTTCCTTGATTTTTAAATTATTTTTTTAATGACTGCATGATTTCATAGAATCCTATGACTCTTATCTTGTATAATGCTTTTACTTAAGATCCTTAAATACAGCTTTTTTAAAGCTAGTACTACAGAAATAAAATTTCTTCTGGGGTGTCTAAGAATCTGTATAGGGAGAAATATCTAATCTTCATTCCATAAGCAAAAAGGGAAAATTTGGGGTGGTTTTTTTGATAGAGAAATTTTCTGTAATTTTTTTATTTAAATATTTTTAAATGGAGTAATCTAGAGACCACAGTGTTCAAATAAAATCTGCCTTCCACTTTACTATGGTAAATAAAATTTTTTTCATTGAAATCCAATTTTCTGTTAGTGGTTAGGAGGGATATACTATATTCATCTGAAAAAAAGAAAATTAAATATATTCTTGTTATACACTGTTTGATTTTAATATGGGTGTAACGTCTGCTTCTGTAAGCTTTATGAAAACCAACAGACCACTTTTAAAGGAAATTATTGAAGGTGGAATAATGGTACAAAATAAGCAAGAGAGACCTTACACAATTTGAAAGAATTAACATGTAATTTTTTTCTACTTTAATTCAAAATAATCACCCTAATTTGCAGACATTAGCCTTTAAAGTTCCAGCCAAAGCAGTTACTCAACGGGCTGCCTGGTGAATCCACCTGTAACTAAAAATGAGAGATTATCTACACTAAGGTGGCATTTCTATAGGCTCGGAAACACAATTACTCCCATTGTTGGATTTGTTCTTATGTGGTATTCTGGAAAAGCCTGCCCAATTGCTGTTATTTTCTTTTTTAAAAGTTCTAAAAAATAATTAGTTATTTTACATACAGTCTTGTGAGGCATTCAGTAGCCTGGCGTGGTTGAGACATTTTGTTTGAACATCTGTTTGTTGTTTTGTGTTTCCGGTGTTATTAATCTTCTCGTAGGTAAGCAGGTGATCCACCCTAACCAAATTGCAGTGGTCCAGGAGCAGTTTTCTCCTTCCCCTGAAAAAATTAAGTGGGCTGAAGAACTGATTGCCGCCTTTAAAGAACATCAACAATTAGGAAAGGTAAATGTTTTGTTAATGCCTTGGGTGAAACTGGTGTTTAAAATACTGTGGGGAAGAATGAAAAATATCTATGTATATTTGAGTGGTTTTAAGAAACTCATAGTATTTTGGGGAGAAGTTTGTACGTGGGGTTAGGAGGAACAATATTCATCAGTGAGTAATTCACTTAAGGTGAATTTCCCCTTCCATATTCCTAAATATTTCACTAACTGGCTCTCAAGTTTCTCATTTTATTCTTTTCATAAACTATATTAGCAGCCTTTGGGAAAATAGAAGTCTGTTTAGTTTTACTCTGTAGACCCTGATGCAGCATTCATATGAAAATAATTTTAGATCAAAATGAGAGCAAGTTGTAATGAAATAAACACAGTTTGATCAAATGGTTCTTGCAGAGAGAAGAAATAAATTTCAAGTTATTTTAATTTGGGAGGAAAAAGTACAAAAATCTCCTCCGGTTTAGTCATTTAAGAGTGGGAGGTTGTATATGTGTTAGTACCAATTTCTGGACCTGAGATTTGGATAGAATGGAAAGCAAATTAACACTGGAGTACGGTTGTTCCTAATTTAGTGCATCATTGAGCCTCGCGTTTCCTGCTCTGTGGGTTTCTGCTATGTAAATATTGCAGTGGTGATGCACAATCTGTCTCCACTTTGTGCCAGTAACACTTAAATTAGGTGTCGCCTGAAGGAAGATTTTATGCTAGTTGCAGCATTGTCAGTTAATTATCTTAAAGGTTATTTGCAATAATACTGTTTGCCTCTTTTTAAGAGGAATGGGGGGAAAGTTACATTTATAAATCTATCCCAGAGGTTATATCTAAACTCAGCATTGTTGCTTACAGTAAGGAGTGAAGTTTTAATACCTGTAATGCAGAAGTCCTTGGGGGAGAAAAAAATGTTGAAACATTAAGGTTCTAAATGTTAAACAGTCCTCCCTACAAAAAAAAAAAAAAAAAAAGAACAAAACTCGTTTTTAGTGGTGAACCACTGACATCAATGTGAGAAGTGTGGCTTACACTTTTCCCTGGCAGTGAAAAACACCTAAAAATCCCAGGACTTTTGGAAGTGGGTAACAATATTAAATGGGTCACTCCCTCCCTCTCATTACCTGCCTTCAACTCCAACCGTGCATGCATGCTCACCCTCACACATTTGCAGGCCCATCTTTGCACAAACTTGAACTTAAAATCAAAAGGCAGAATATGTGACATTGGAAACACACCTTTTAGACTTATAGCAATTTCAGGATAAATAGCATCCTTTCATTTCAAATCAGTAGTGACTATCAAAAAAAAAAACTGCAGTTCATAAAAATTTTTTTCAGTTGACATTCTGTTTTATGTCCATTTCTATGTCTTGACCCCAAAATCCAGATCCTGCATGAATAAAGACATTTATCTAGAGAGAAAGACATGTACTTTTACATTTATACATGCAAATAACTCTGTCCACTCCTCTGTATCACATGCTTGCCTGTGCACACACTCACTAGATGTTCTATACCTCTGTGTGTATGTTATGCTAGCTGAGGATACGCATGTGATAAATACTCCCTACTGAACTAAACTGAAGCAGGATGGGACCATCAGAACAGCAGACCGAGTAGAGTTCCATTCTGGGCCAGTACTGCCTCCATTAGCTGTCTACACTGGGTTTCACATTGGATAAAATCAAAGGATGCCACTGGCATCATAAGCAGGCTGGGGTATGGAAGAGGTTACCCTAAGTTTCAGTAGCCAGCAAACAAAATTCAAACTAGAAGCATAGTCTTTTACTGTCATTTAAGTTCTTGAATGAGGGAAAAACAGCGCTTTTCCATTGTATCTCGAAAGTATTATTCCCAGGGAAAATTGCTCTAAAGTGTCCTTGCCTTTGATGATGGCAACTTAAATGTTAAATTCTGAACTGGTTTTTTTTTTTTTTTTTTTTGAAATAAGAAAAACCCTCTTGTTGGGCATAAGCTTTCACAACAGTGTGGAAGAACAGCTTTTCTTAACACAGAACCATAGAAATTAGAGCAGAAGAGAGACTAACTATTAGGTCATTTCTTCCCTGCCCCGTTCGTGTAGGTTTGTTTCCTACAGCAAATTCTCCTGGTGCTTTGTCCAGCAAGGTTTAAATGATTCAAGTAATGGGGCTTCCAGTGGGGACATATGGTTGTTTTATCCAGTTCGCATGTTTCTTTCACTCTGCCTATAAATTGGCTGGTCACAAAAATTGGGTCTGCAGGTAGGTGACTCTGGGTCTTGAGGGGTCTTGGGGTTTAAATAATGTAGGTTCTGTTTGTAAAGATTTAGTATAAATAGGTTGCTCAGTTGTATAAAGTATTGCTTCCAACAAACATCTAATCTGTTTTATTTCAAATGTGAATCACTGATGAAAACATAAACCCTCGGATGCTTTGTCCAAAGCACAGGTGACTTCCTCAATGATGGGAAACTGATGGTTTGTGTCCTAGTGAGATACTTATAAATTTCTCAAAGACCTTTTGTCCCCCTCTGATGAAAATTTCATGCAAGTGATGCTTTTAAGTAGAAATGACCTAAGAAGGCAAAATTATGTATCCTTGCTTTTCTCTACTTCCTGCTCCCATCTTAAATTATATTCTGCCCTAAGACAAAAAGGTATAGCTGAAGTTCACAGTTACTGCTGGGTCACTTGTATTTTCTACAGTAGTAGTAATAATTATTATTATTATTATTCAAAAATAAAAGTTCTGCCTTTTTTCTGTCCCCTCCAGATAACAAAATTCATGAGAATATGCAGATCACGAGTAGATAAATTATTGGGGTTCAGTATTTAGTATCACAGGAAATTGTTTTGTCTTGTATTAATTAGTAGTTCTAAGGAAATAAAGTTTGATGCCCTTAGTCTAATGTTGGGTGAAAATTACTTTACATTTTAAAATGATAACCTGCTCATATAATCTGTCACCGTTTGGCAGGCAATGATATTTGTGACTGCTTTGCTTCAAGAAACCAAAGTTTTTCTCAGGCTGAAGAATTTTATCTGGTACAGAAATCCCCACAATAAGAATCAGGGCTACAGAGATATTAGGGCCTCATTAAAATCTGTTAGGAAAAAATTAAACACTCTGCATTCTCTATGCTCCTATTTTAATTCCCATAAGGTAATATATTTCTAATTTAACTGACATCAGTTGTTAGGTATATATCTGCAATATTAATCAAACTTGACTCCTCCTTCCGTCCTTCCAGAAAAATATATTTTGAGATATAACCTGCATGTCATTAATTATTTTAGCTTTAAATTGTTTGGTAAGATACTTTAGCCAGGATAAATCACTTCCATATGATTTGTTTTAAATTTGTAAAGGGTTTTCTTAAAAGTTAATTTCATTTTTGATTTCATTTTTTTCATAACAATGGTGATTCTAATATTTGAAAATTTTCCATTTAGAACTGAATTTAGTATTGCTCATTTTAAAATATGATTTTAACAGTTCTTTTTTTAATCAACTAAGAGGTGTATACAATATAAAAATTAGATAATTGAAATGAAACCATCTCAAGCAAATAATTAGTTAGTATTAGTTGATATCAACAGAAACTATAATTTGTATATAAATAAGTATATAACACATACTATGTATACATTGATATATGTATGATAACTGTGTATTTTTTCAAGTCTATACCATAAACTCAGTGCCAGATGCATTACCTTTTGGGCAAAAATGACAGCTAAAGGAAATAGTTGCTTTTTTAAAATGTTGATAATCCTAGGAAATACTAATTTAAGAATTTACCATTTTTTCTTAAATAGAGGCTCTAACAGAAAAATATGAAAGAATAGTAAAATATATTACAAGTGGCAACATGCATATTATATGAGCTGGATTTTTAAAGGTACTTTGCTGGAATATTCATATTTCTGCAATGTCTGGCTACAGATATGTCTTGGCTTTGTTTTCAGCATTCCAGGCACTCTATTTTATTCATATTAAATCTGTAAATGCTTTATTTGGTTGTAGAAAGATTTTACTTAACTTCTTCAATATATTTTGTTCATTATAGCTTCACAAACTGGTTAAAAACCAAGGAAGGGAAAGCGTCCACCTTTAAAATCCAGGTTTAAATAGTAATTATAAAGGTCAAAAATGCAGTCACTTCTGGCATAACAACTGTAAACAACACATAACCAAAGCATTCTAACGTCACTCAAGTGAGAGCAATAATGCAGATTAATATGTTTACATTAATAAGCAAATCCTCTACAGGAATATAAATTGGGAACTTACATCTTAATAAAGAAAGAAAAAAGGAAGTAAAAGGTTTTTTACTCATGTAAGTCTTTTCATCTAGAAAACTACAAAGAATAATAGCCCCTCTCCAATACTGAAAGCAAATTATTTTCATAGGTATGTGATTGTGGCTCACACACCTTTTCGTTTGTGTTTCCAAATGCAGGGATTTACAAAAGAAATACTGTTTGGTCCAGATGGCCTTCTAGAAGGCTCCCCTAGAGAACTCAGAAGTCTTTCTAGCCAAAAATATTGTTTCCGCTTATTCAAGTGCCAGAAATCCCACTGCCACTTTTTCACGCAGATCAAATAAACCATCGAAAGATTTGGTTGTTGTCTTTGTCACAGGAAAGGGTTGATTCCACTAATAGACAACAGTGTCCCCTCCCACACTCATGCATCCCACCACCCACAGCCTTGCCCCCTTTATTTTTGTAAGCAGAAATACTAAAATCAAAACTGAATGATTGCCAGTGAAAATGAAAGATAAAGGGATATCTATCTACTTTTGAGATGCTTAGTTCTTGCATTCTCCCTTTATGTTCTTGTTCATTAAAAATTTTTAGAACTATATGCCTTAATTTTGACTTTAAAAAGTCAAATTCTTAGAAAAGTTGAGTCTGCCAATGATGATTTTAAGGTTGATTTGATCAATAACAAATTGCAGATTCCTAAACATTTAGAGCAAGGCAGTATAATTTTAGTGTTGATGGTATCTTATTTCACATAGTTTTAG